CTGCCAGTAGTTCCCAGATCGTGCCCATATCCTCTGAAAATTACAATGACTGGCCGTCGCAAACGATCACGCCTTCGTCCAGCAACCTGTTCAACATAAAACCGAGTGCAGACGATGAGACAAACCGTGAGACAGATACGAATACATTGGATAAAACCACCACGAACGTGTCCACGAAAGCCCAAGAAGAGCATTACTCAGACGAATCCTCGGCCAGCTTCGACTTCACCATCGAAGCTGAAAAGATGGTCTCAGCGCTCTGCAACATATCCTCGAACGATATTAACAAGGAAGAAACGAAGAACGACAAGCCTAACTCGACGCCACTGTTCAGCGGAGCCGGTGACACAGCCTCGAACAAGAATTCTTGGTTTACCGAGTTTTGCTCGGATTATGGAACTGGTAGGTCGATAGCTACCCAAACTGACGAACCATGCATCGATAGGACACAGTATCCAGAGCTGCTGAGGAAAGTGATCTATTGGGGATGCACCGAAGCCGAGATCGTTCTGAATAACAACTCCAAGTCGAATCCCAGGTGTAGCTGGCTGAAGAATCTCTCTGCGGCCACCAAAACGGCAGTCACCAAGTCTTCCACCTGTTTCCCAATTTTTGCTGGGGATCGTGTCTTCGCCAGCGACTTGATAAACGCTCTGTTACGAATCAGCAACGGCTGGCTCGTCCTGGATAATTACCTGAACAAGCAACATTATCCGAGCCTGAACGACAAATTCGACTGCGAGTTGCTCAGATGCTTCCGCCTGTGGGAAGAGAGTACTCATCAGCTGCTGAATCAGATCGTGCAAACTTTCCTGAAGCTCGAGGAGAACAGCGATGCTTCTAACCTGGAGCAGAAACCAGAATCATTTGGAACCTCTTTTCCAGGTGACGTTTCAGTTTACACGAATGGCGACTTGTTCGATCCGTCATCGACGTCGAATACGTCGAAACAGAAGTGGAATAGTAAAAAGAACGGGCAAGATTCCTGTTCTAAAGCAGCCCAGTCGTCGACCGGGAGCCTACGAAACTTTGGCCTGTACAACGTGAGCCAGGAGAAACAGTCGTCGCAGAAAGAATCGAAATTACGAAGTAAGTGGACCGTTACTGAGAATCTAGTGACAATAGACAGCACGAAATCCGTGCCTGATATGTTCTTAGGGTACGCAGAATCCGGGGGTCAGTCGAACAGTAGATTTCGTTCGAGAGGAAGTGCGTCATCTGCGAAGACCGACACATCAACCCAATCGCTGAACGCGGAATTTTTTCATTTGAGAAGCAAGATTCTCACGGAAAGCAATCAAGATTCTTCGAGACAATGGTTATTCAAGGAAAAGAAACAAGAGTTCCCTGAAAATAAAGTTTCGCCGCAAGATAACGTCGACGCTATTTTTAGACTGCAACGTCAGTTAGATGAAAATTGTGAGAGCAATTATGCTCAGAAATGTTTGTCGAGGGTGGAATCGTCGTTTCTGAACCCTCCGATTAGCTTAGAATCTATGTACTTTCCTTCTACTAACGACCCTGAAAATTTTTATCCTAGTTACGCTGTTTGCCCTCCCTATGCGGTAAATTATGGTAACAAAAATTTGAAAAGCTTCGAACAGAATCGCAGAAATAAAACAAACATGGATCTAGTTTACGTTGGCAAATCGTCCACGAGTCAGTTAGAATTAGCCGCCGTGCCGAAAGATAAGATGACGTTACTTAGCCAAATCGAGCCAAGCATTCCAGAGAAATCATCCGAGGAGATGGCAGCCAACTTGTCAGCTTGGTTCGCTAGTATGAGGAACTCCGATAATCGACAAATTCCTTTCATGGACTTAACAGATATGAATGCAGAAACTGTTATACCACAAGGGTCAGCGCGAGCAGACATGTCAAAGAACGCAATGGATCTGGGTAGCTGTATCAGGCAGTTGCAGATCGATACGAATCGCCAGTTTCAAACATTGCAGAACATACAGAACGTTCAGTCTGCACCTTGGAACCCTTACAACTTGATCAATAATCGTGTCCACGTGCAACAAGTTCCCGAAGAGTACGACAGTTCCGAAGACGTTCGAGTGTACATGAAACCAGGAAGCTATAACGTGCCAAAGAAGAGGCATCAAAGAAGATCCAATCGTCGTTTGGAGAACTCGTCATCTCGAAACGCTGCCAGTGGATCTGGAAGCAATCATCGTAATCATTACGCCAACAAAGAGAAAACCTACTGTGCTCCAGTATCCTCGACCCCTGTGTCTCGACCTACCACAACATCTACCAGTGTTAATGCCTCTGCGATAAAATTACCATTCCCGGCGACACCCATAGTACCACCTCCGACCTTTTCCCTGGAAAATTCACCCAGGATCTTGAAACGCTCCGACATCACCAATTACGCAGTGTCCGAAGATGTTACTTGGAAGGCGGCGTGTGCTTCAGCTGAAATTTTGTTAGAGGCATTGAACGTGAAGGAAGATACGGATATAAAGAAGAAGAAGGAAATCAACGATGGTGTCGCTGGTACCGAGAAGTGTGAAGCTGTTAGAAAGGACGATAACGCAGACACAGCGCCCCAAGTGGCGCAGGACCAAGAGAAGATGGAAGAAAGTTTCGCCAAAAACTTGAAAGACAATAACGATGGTTGCCCTGGTGTCTCGAGCTACGAAGCATCCGAAGACGACTCAGGCTCGACGAATCATTTTTCACCCAACACGAGTACCAACGAGGTTTCACAGTTGTCTGGTAACAAAAATGGTAATAATTATAATCGCTTAAAGTGTATTCTAAACATTGCTTTTGTCAGAAGAATATCTACATTCGAAACTTCTCGTTCCTTACGCGTCACTTTGCGAGTGAAAAAGTAAAACGTGCGCATGTTGCATAACGACTGTGTCATGTTCAGCAGTACCCTGTCGAGTAATGCGAAGCGTTGAATTTAATCGTTTAACGAACATTTTTAATCGCTTTAATGATACTAGAAGGACGGAAATTCGAGAGCTTTATATTTTCGTATAACGCCAAATTGATTTTGAGTTAGTACACGTACCATGCATCTTTCGAAAATCAAATTGCATTAATTTTTGTTTCATGCGTGTAAAAAATTTAAACGTAAACGAAAGTACGTGTCACGTGTCATGTTAAGGCAAGACTTCCGTTCTTCCAGCATTAAATATCGCAATATTTTATGCAGCTACCCGTTAACAGGTTCTCGTAAAATGAATATAAAAACGGATTCGTGGTTAATCAAAACTTTGAACAACGCAAACATGGCGAATAAGCAGAAACGACGAAAAAACAATGCTGTTCCCCATAGTTCGGAATCGTCGAACAGCTCCGTGACGGAGAATGAGCAAGCGACACCTATCGTTTCGTTGGTATCCAACAGTACCGTAACAACAGTCGCGACGACCACGACGGTGAAAAATCTGCAACAAACCTTATGCTCGAGGAAAAGTTCGTGCATTTCTCTGAATAATGATCAAACAACATCGGAAGAAACCGAACGTGTCGTTGGGAAAGCAACTTACTCTGAAACCGTTCGACGTTCTGCGTCTTTGAGCACATCCTTTTCGGAAAAAAAGGAATTCTGCAAGAAGAACAAGTTAAATATTGCCAACGTGTCGACGATTTGCAGCACTGTGATACCGATACCTGGACGCAAATGTCAAAGAAAAGATTTCGAAAAATCGTATTATCTCTTGCATAATAGATCTCGTAAGTGTTCCGGGAAGAAAGCGACGAAAAATTGCGAAATCAGTGATTCTCCGGTAGAGGGAACATCGAGATCTATAATCGCGATAAAACATGGTAAGAAGAGAGAAAACTCTGGTTGCATTGAATTCTTGGACGGGAAATTTGGCGGTAAAACTAGCGACAGAGGCTGGTCTGTGTGGTACAGCTCGAAAAGAAAGCAAAGCCTCAGTCCTCTTGTTCTTAGCAAATTAGAGATGATACATCAAACAGTTTGGCAAATGGAAGAAGCAAAAGTTTTCAAGTGTCCATCTTCAGGAAGCAGTGATGGTACTCAATCTTCTACATACACGGTTAGTCCTGTTTGTGTACCACTGCTTTATCGGTACAGATCACAGATTAATGGTTACATAACCTCATTTCAGATTGAAGATTATTGCAAAGTTATTAAGAGTCCGATGTTCCTGGAAACAGTTGAGTACAAGTTGAAGAATCGAGTTTATCATAAAGTTGAACACGTGGTTAGAGACTTTCGTCGTATTGTTTATAATTCAAAATTATATCACAAGGTTCGTAGTCTATGTTATTTATCGACATATCAACTTTTACTGCAGTTGTAAAAGTGTAATGCGATTGAACTATAGTTTTCGCGGTAAACGATATTCGATGTTTATTCTAAATATATTGTAGGCTATACTGTATAGGAATTTTAATAAAACCGCAAATGGATCGAGTGTTACGACTTATTGCAATTTTTTAATATATTAACAAATGCCATAGCTTCTATTATAATCATTATTTATTGTTATTAATATTACTTAATCCTTAATCATTTCATCGTAGGATGATCATGATCGAGTAAAAATAATCGAAACATTATCGAAGAAACTCGAAGAACTATTCGAGGAACATTTTGCAAGTTGGGACTTCGACAATATTAGCGGTAGTCCAAGGGAAAGTTCGCCAGTGCTGCATCGATTTAAGACGTCTGGACAAAAACCGGTAACTGGACGTTACGGTAATACGAAGAAATGTCCGTCTTCTTCGATCACCGAAAACATATAATACCATTATTGTATGCTTTTCTGCGACATCAAACCGCATTCGAAGAATTATCGTACCAATTATTCATGATGACTTCTCGTTGCGCACCTGCAATTCATATTATTATTAGATTAACAGATAACTAATTGCATCAAGTTTATGTAAAATTGTTAGATTCGAAATCGAGTATATTTGTAAGGATCGATCATAATAATACGCTCTAGTCACGCAACAATTTGCATTGTTGTTGCATCATAAGCGTTCCACGGTTTTTCTTTCGCAACGTAGCTTACTCTGTTAAAACATTTCTCGTTTGTTTTCAAAGAAGCGAAAGTTTAAATACTTATTTTTCTGGTACATATACCTGTATAAGATAATGCATATTGAATGTGAAACAAAACAGTTACTTAATTTTTTTATATCATTGATATTATATTTAAAAAAGATAGTAATATTAATTACCTAATAATGTTGTAATAACCATAGCCTAAAACTTGGGAATACACAATTGGCTTTAAAAAGAAAATAATTTAACCATTCTGTCTTAGCAAGATTAAAACACGATTAAACAAAAGTAGTGAAAACGATTGAAATATTATAAGAATAAAATAATTGTTCATTTGTAAAATGATCGATATGCGTGAAATATGTTATAAAAGAATGAAAAGAAGAAAAATATTATAATATCAAATTGTATTGTCAAGCATATAAGGAATTGACCAAATAAAATAATTTAAAACAATGAAAAGTCCCGCGTTATAGTCATGGAAGAAGACCGCATGCGCAGTATGGGCGCTATAATCGGGTAAAGTTAATGCGCACATACCGTAGAAATGTCAGTTGTGCGGTTCGAGTAGTGTGCGCACATGGATTATAATAATGTCAAACACCAAGAGCACGGAAAGATGGCGGTCGAGCGGTAATTTTGTGATGCATGGGGTGTAGTCTATAAATGGTGTGTCTTACATTCCCAAGGGATTTATCAAAATCATAACATTATCGTGCAATGTGACTATATACTGATCACGACCGTCCTGTGAAGCAGATCGTGTCAATAACGGAAGGACAACGACGGAGAAGGATAGAAAAGATAGAAGGAGCAAGAGAAAAGGAGAATACAGAAAGAGAACGGACCCAGTTTGCACGTAACGAGTGTAGAAGCGGTTCATTGCTCCGCTCTAACTTGTCGCCAAGATGGATTGGGAGTCGATCACGGTGGCGAGTCTTCATCTGACGATGACCGAACATCAATATTACGAAGACATTTTTAGTTATTGCTGTCAAAATGCAGACAGCGACAGTTTGTCGATGATCAAAGTTGCCGAACTACTACACTCGGCAAGTTTACCAGAAGTTGTCACAATGAAGGTAAATTATATCTACTCAATGCACGTAGTCTGTCAGCTGTTAGTTTTCTGTCATACGCGCAGTCACAATATTGAATTCGTAAAATCTCATTAATCGTATCGAAGTGGGCGTTTAATTTGTCAAACATGATGTGATATCGGGAAATTATAATACCTCATGAAGGTTAGGATTAAAGAACGGTTACGTGGGGATTATAAGCATAGTAGTTAAATAACAAACAAAACAGTTACTTTTTCATATCTTATAGTCGAAAATAAATCAAATAAAAAATTCTTCAATGACCGATTTTGATATAATGACAATATTGATATGTTATTATTTTCAACACATCTATTTTTAAAAAATCTGTAATAGAAAATTAAAAAATGAAAATTGTAATATTTATTAAATATAAAAAAATATATTCATTTAGGAATTCGATTGAAAAAGATATTAATTTCAATATATTATTTTAAATGTTTATAAAATACTGACCAATGACTCAAAATAAAATTTAGATTTATAAAATATATTCAAAATAAGTAATATGAACCTTGAATTAACAGTGTATTTTAAATAAAATAGCTTAATAATAATATATTAAAAGGCAATCATTTTGTAGTTTTAGGTACTATATTTGATTAATAAAAAAAGTAGGAATATAGAATAAAAATTTAAGTTTTTAAATCTTCAATATGTTCATATATATGCGTAAATAGATACCATATGTTAATTTAATTTATTGCTTTTCATATAATGCTCAAAACAGCATGTTTATAATTAAAGTGTTACAAAAATGTAAAAGTATTTATTTAAAGCAGATAAATTTAAATAAAATACTAATTATGCTTATTAGCAAAATACGTTCTTCTGATTTATAGATATTGGATATTTGTTTTGGAGCTAAAGCAGCACACATTGGTGCGTATCTTGGAAAAATACAATTTTATGTACTATTGAAGCTTGTAGCAGCTCATCAAGCAGGAATTAGCATTCGTAAAGAGATAATTACCATGCCTTTGGATGTTATCACTTTACCAAGATTTACTTGGCCAGCATCTGAGGAAGAAGATGGTAGGAGAAGTTCAGACTCAAACAGGGCTATGAAAAGTCATCGTCATGCTCCTGAAAGTACTACAGAAAGTGAAAGTGAAGCAGAGTCTCCAATGGAAACTGGTGGTAGTACAGATTCACCAACACCAACAAATAGTATAATACAAGACAGAAACAATGATATAGGTGGTAAAACAATATTAGATTCTGTATCTGGAGGTTGGCAAGGATTGCTGGTATCAGAAGAACAGAGGCAGCTGTTAGGAACTGAAGAAGAGAGTTCAGAACGTCATAGCAGTGATGAAGGTGATGGAGATGGCGATAGCTCATTTCCACCTGAAGAAGTATGGATAATTAGTGATGAACAGCGCGAGTATTATGCTGCTCAATTTGCCCAATTACAACTTGATCCTGACGGACTCTTACATGGTCCCATAGCCAGGACATTTTTTAGAAAGTCTGGACTTCCTTTAGGAGAACTTAGTCGCATTTGGCAACTAGCAGATATAACCAGAGATGGGGCATTAAGTATACAAGAATTTTTTGTGGCTATGCATCTTGTTGTGTTACGAAGAAATTATGTGCCTCTACCTGATGTCTTACCTCCATCCTTATTAATTCCTTTGCTTAAGCAAAAGACTGGTCCACCACCTGTTCCACCAACTACAACCACTCAAAAAACTCCACCCAATACCACTGGTACTCGTGAAAGAAATAAAGAATGGACAAAATTTGTTGATTCCCCAACTGGAACTAGTAGTTCTTTAACTAGTCCTGGGTTGCAATTAGTGAATTTTGATTTTCAAAAATCTTCTGTTGAAAAAGATCCCAAAATTTTGCATCCTGTACCATTGCGTTTGACACCAATTCTTGCTTCTGGGGCAAATGGTAATAGTAGCAGCTGTACTACGTTAGGAGATGATGATCTCCAACGTACTGCAAGTGCAATGGTGCAACGACCTCTTATAAAAAAACCACCTCCACCTCCTGAAGAAGCTACTATAGTGACTCCAAAGAAGGAACCACCGCCTCCACCACCACCCAGACCATACAGAACACATGCAAGAAGTTCTAGTCTTGATCTTAATAAATTAGGTATATGTTGCTACCAATACTCTGCGATACTTTTCATCGTGGCTGAGAAAGCAAAGTTTTACGCTTCAAACTGTGCGCGTGTAGGGAAAAATGGTCAAAGTTTCCTTGGAGCACCTCCACTAGTTCCACCAAGAATCTCTCCCGGAATCGTAAGTACTTTTACCTATTTTGTTAACATTCGGTTATCAAATGCTTACATTAAAATTATTAATAATGAAACCTGCATTTAATTAAGCTGCTTTTTTACGGATCTGCACAGTAGATATTTCAGATATTTTACATGTCGTTAACAATGTTATGGATTCAGAAAGTTAAAATATGTAGGCAAAATTATTGTTGTAAAAAAAATTTTGTCATATATCTCTACTACAGACTTCACCTCGAAAATTGGTTGGTCAAAAAAGTGAGGGAGAGGGACAAAAAACCTTAAATGAAAGTCAAGGTTTTGTTGCTGATTTTTCTCACTTTTCTCCAAAGAGTGAACTACCTGAAAATCCACCTTTGGAAACTCCACAATCACAACAATTTACTGGTGTCTGTGGTGCATTTCATATTTATAGAAAACCCAGTCCAAGTAAGTTATTTTTTATTTCTATTTTAATAAAATTTCAATATATTTCTACAGGCTCCAAAGAATTATTATTTTTTATCTTTTTACTTTATTTATAGAGCGAGAAGGAGGAGATGAAGATGTTCTTAAAGATGAAGTAGAAGAATCAAAGAAATTAACATTACAAGAGTTGCGAGAGAAGAACGCTGAACTGCGATTAGTTTGTGAAGAATTAACACGAGAGTTAGCGAGCGTACTACAGGAACGTATAAATCTTCGTGCAAGACTCTTAATTTTAACATGATATAATTTGTTATCATTTGTAAAGACTCCAAACTGTGAATTATCGATTTTTCCTAAATTTGTCGTAAAATCGAGTATCTCATGTGTCATGCTAGTCTAGAACATTTCCTTTTGCAAAGTTTCGTATATTCATAACAGTTAGCGTAACCAGAAATTAATATTACAAAGAAAATATTAATAAAAATTATCCAGTGTTAACTATTCAACCTATTTCCATTGTCATTTACTGTTGAAAACATTACTTAGATTTTAAATGTCCCTTTATATATTTTTAATGTTTTCATAATGTGTGGTTTGCTGATACTTATATAAATATTTGAATTATTTTCTTAAAAAAGGAAAAATAGATGTTTCTATGATTAGCAGAAATGTTAAAGAAATATTGTCAACAGAAATTCCTTGTGGTTACGCTATTATTCACATTTTCCTCTTTCACAGATAATTCCAGTGTGCATTATTAGAAGCGTGGGTACAAATATTATAGTAACATCTGCCACTCTCTAGCATTCAAATGTTATAGCATTTTAAAGTTCAGATAATTTTAAAAACTTATATTTTTTATTCATAGTATTATGCTAAATTGCTGAGAAATAGTTCTTTATATATTAAAGAGTTTTAAAACTTGAATAATCGCATCAAGTGATAGTGAAAGCTTGGTGGTTACTGTATACTATAAAAACATACTATAAAAACGAGTGATGGATGTTTATTGTTTATGTCAACAAAATGAAACTGTATTTTCGTATGGCTGTACAACCAAATTTTTCACAGCATGGCATAACTGATCGGTATTCCTAAAGTGTTACAATGTATTTCATTTCGTGATGATAATTGTACATAGCAAATAGAATTAGAACAAGGAATGAGAGAAAATGAAGTCTGCAGGAACAGAACATTCAAAGAATAAATATACTTTAAAAAGAAATGTTAATATCTTTAATCAATTTGTATGTTCTACTTTTGTTCTATTTACCAGATTATTCAATATATTACTTTTAAAATAAAGAATATCAGGTTCAATTATTTGCTACTGTTTTTACAGATCGTATGACTTCATTTGTATATAAAGACAATGCTCTTAGAAATGCTTTTGTTCAATACCACTATAAAAACTAATTTAATATTGCTGAGAAATGTTAAGTAACAGACTATTCCTTGTGCCATACCATATAATATTTTAATAATATTGTAACTAATATTACAGCCACTTCTAGTGGTTAAAAGCTGTTTTGTTAAAATTATTTAGAAATATTTCAATCAACAATCATACAAAAAAATCTTTTTGTAAGTGTACAGAAATTGTACAGAAAGTATATGAAGTTAACTGTTGATTTATTCCATTCCTATTATTCATGTAATCTTGTAAAAATGTACCAATACATAAAAAGATAAAGAAATGTTTGGAAAATTAAATAAAGCATTCTCTTAGTTTCATAACAATTTTTATTGATGTCAATGTGTTGAATGACAAATAATATTATTACAGAAAGAAATCACAAATATTTTAAAGTCTAGGTTGTGAATGTGATGAATGAATAAATGATAAAAGACAATTAAATGTAACATACATTACTTGTACTTAGGTAATATATGATACAAGAATTTACTTTGCATATGTGACTACACAACTTTCACAAATACACATTAAATTTGCATTTATATCTTATATTCACGAAAATATTTGAAAATCACGAATGAAGATTTAAATATAACGAATTCTGCTTTCTTTTGTACTTGTTTTGATAATTAATGCCTATACAATAGATAAAACTATTTTCTGTGCGAAAAAATGTTATACTAAAAAATACTTTTAATTTCATATTTTCAATTTCTGATTGGAAATTCTACTGGTTAAATATAATGATATTTCATTTGAATATGGTCGTATAATAAACATTATCATACAGACACGTTTACGGAGATGTGTTATATATAAATATATGATAAACTTTAGTTATCTTTCGTTTGTATGTACTTAATTAAGTCAACCACACGGTTAGAATAACCATATTCATTATCATACCAGGAGATTAATTTAACGAAGTTATCGTTCAAAGGAATACCAGCTTTAGCATCAAAAATACTGGAGTGGTTATCACCAATGAAGTCAGAAGAGACTACATCATCTTCTGTATAGGCTAAAATTCCTTTCAGTGGTCCTTCAGAGGCTTCCTTAATTTTAGCTTTAATAGCATCATAGGTTGCAGGTTTGGCAAGTCTAACGGTTAAGTCAACGACCGATACATTATGTACCGGCACACGGAATGCCATACCGGTCAGTTTTCCATTAAGAGCTGGAATGACTTTACCAACAGCTTTAGCTGCACCAGTTGCAGCTGGAATAATATTTTGTGCAGCACCACGACCATCTCGCCATAACTATTATACAAGAAAAATTAGATATGAAACAGAAATATCAATCATAAAATGAAGAAAAGCAGTTTTAAGAAGAACATAACATACTTTTCCAGATGGTCCATCAACAGTTTTTTGAGTAGCAGTAATAGCATGTACAGTAGTCATAAGACCCTCAATAATTTCAAAATTATCATGAATAACTTTAGCAAGAGGAGCTAAACAATTGGTTGTGCAGGAAGCATTGGAGATAACTTTGTAACTTGGATCATAAGCATCTAAGTTTACGCCAACGACAAACATAGGTGCATCGGCTGATGGTGCAGAAATGATAACCTTCTTTGCACCACCTTCCAAATGGGCCTAAAAGATTAAAACGATTAAAATATTTTTATATAAAGACTTATACTTAACTCTTTCTATTACATATAAATGTACAAATTTTTACATACAGAAGCCTTTTCTATGGTAGTAAAGACTCCAGTCGACTCTACAACATATTCAGCTCCAGCCTTTCCCCATGGAATAGCTTTTGGGTCACGTTCACTAAATACAGCAATCTTATTACCATTGACAACTAAGCAACCATTTTCAGCTTTGACTTCTCCCTTAAATCTACCATGTGTAGAGTCATATCTGAACATATATACCATATAGTCCAAACCAATAAATGGATCATTAATGGCAACAACCTAGTAATATTATAATAATTAAAACACTGAAAACAAAAATGTATAAAATTTATAAATTATTGAATACCTGACCACCACGTTCGAGGGAGGCCCTAAGCACAAGACGGCCAATACGGCCGAATCCGTTAATTCCGATTTTGCTCATATCGTCTTCTGTGCAACTGGAAAATGACCGGTTTAATTTTCGAAAATATATTTTTGATTCTACAAATATCCGTTGTCTTTGGAAAATTAATTTTTGCGTTAATGATATAAATGAAATTAATCGCATCATAAACAGCATAACCTCACATAAGTTTAATGAACTTTTTTGATTTATAATTTAATATTCATTGATTTCATATTTTCTTATCTTACACAATGTTGAGATATATTATATCAACTAAAAACATATTTATTAATTTATATATGCATAACTTCGGTAATTTGTAAACTATGATATACATACATATATAATATATTGATTTATTGTAATTTCAAATGTGTTTTGTTGTAAATATTATTATTCAAGCAAAAAATAGTGATAATGTAATTAACAAATATATATATGTGTGTGTATTGAAAAATACTTTGTTGCTTCTAATAATCTTACATTAATATAAATAATAACTTTTTAATATTAAATCAAATAATTTATTAAGAATCGAATAAAATATTGTAACTCAAATGATTAGTGCTGTAACACTTCGTTTAATATTAAAGGTCATTCAAGGTCAAAGAGATCTCTTAACGTCTTGTATCCATGCTATATTCAAAGACGAACGTGACCTTTTTCACATATTTGCAATTCAATTTTTAAAGCAATATCTATATACATTTATGTTCAACATATTTTATAATTACATTGAAACTTATCTTAAAATCAAAATTATGCAGTACACAACAGCATATAACATACATATTAAGATTATTCAATTTGAAAATTCATTATAATTTAAACTGAAAATAATAAAATTTAGTAGCTAGCTAAATTAAAAAAATGCAATTTATAAATTACTTAAGAACATGTCATAGATAGAAATATTAAATTGTGAAAGTGAAGAACTATAACTTAACGTTTCGAAATACATCGAAAAAGGATCGTATTGTATCTTAATATGTTCATATGTTCATTGTATCGTGTCTTAATATGTTTATCAAAATCGATTAATTTTCGGTTTTAAACAGTTAGTTGCATATTATTCAAGTATTCCTTGGAGCTAAAAGAACTGGGTTACGTGACATGATGAATATCAATGGAAGTATACGTAACAAATATAACGAAACGAATTTAATAATTCTTTGATTATTATATTTCTAATGATTATTTAATCAAAAAATAAATTTGAACATTTTAGAAATATATCCGTACACGTGTTCTCGAAGATTCTTCAACAGATTCTATATATACTAACATAGGAGAATTATTACAGGAAGATACTCGTTTTGAATGATGTCATATCAGCCGGTATGATGAAAATATATGTAGTATATGCTACGTAATTCTAGATAAAAGAATAGCATAATGTAGAAATATTACTTTATTCTGGATATTAATATCAAATGAAAGATTATAGCCTGTTATAGTGCATGAATATGAGGTAATGAAAATATTAATTTATGGAAAAACAGATTATGAATTAAAATTAAGTTGAAAAATCGTAATACTCACGTGCAGGAACAATGTGAATGCTACGCTTACCGCAAAAGCAGTGTCATTTGAAGGGCAGAAAACGGTAATATAACCAGCATCAGTTTTAGGCGTATGCGCTGTAACCGTTTCCTAGTTTCGTGTATTATCGGCTATACTCGGGTCACGTGAATCGCCTGCTTATTGACGTATTTAAAAGCGGCTAAATTTAAACATTAAAAAATTCAAATATTGAAAAAATGATTTAATTTATAATTTACTAAAAAGTGGAATAGATGGTATCGACTAAAAATTATTTTGATATATTTCTACAACATACAAATGTTATTTATACAATAAATTTATTTAAATCGTACTTTCGAAACAGAAATACTTATACAGAACAAAATAAAAAAAAAAATACAATTTTAATATGGCAGTAATCCTTAAATTAATTAAATTGGTAAGAAAATATAAATAGATTACATATTATAGTTATTTTACATAAAATGTAATCTTATAATGTATTCTTATTATTGAACAATATAATTAATCTTCACTTTTTTCTGTCTCTTGTACAGGCACTGGTATATTACCAGAATCAACTTGGTACATATATTTTATCAAATCCACTACACGATGTGCATAACCATATTCATTGTCATACCTGTAAACATTTATACTTTGGTTTATTAATTATTAAACTATGAATTTATTTGATTAATTTTCACATATTCGACTATTTTTCTCTCTATATTTACATTTTGTGATTAATAAATTCCAAAATTTGTCACAAAATAACTTGAAATAGCTACATTAAAAATTTAGGTTATTGTTATTTTATGATCAAAAGCAACAAGATTTCAATAAGCAATTTATAACTTATAAGTATTAATAAATTGTTAAATTTATTTGTACTGTATTTTGGATTATCATATCTTATATTAATATCAGAAATCTATCGATAAATTCAGGATTAAAATATTGTTCGTAAAATAATTTTTTCGTTAATAATTACCAGGCAACAACTTTAATGAACGTGCTCGTCTGTGGAATACCAGCTTTCGCATCGAAAATACACGAATAACTTGTGTTATTAAAATCGGATGATACACAATCATCATCTGAATAACTCAATATATCTTTTAGATCATTTTCTGATGCTGTTTTCATTGCCTCCTTCACTTCTTCATACGATGTCGGTTTATTAACCCTGAAATTAATAAAATTATTATATTCATATATAGTTACCATTAGTAATATAATAGTACATATTATATTATATTATAATATATTAGTAATACCAGTTATAATTAGCTAAGATTAACATTGGTATATAGAATTCGAAATCATTTTGTATACCAATTTTTAATCATTCATTATAATTATTTTGTATACCAATATTTGAATTGTTTACATGAATTTGTTTATAACAAATAAAGTAGAATAAATTTGATAATATTAGTGAAGTGAAAAACATATTATATCAATTACTATCATAAAGATATTTTTTATATATATTTTCATATTCTGCTTCATATAATTCGTGAAAGCATTACCTAAAAGTCATGTCACACAAGGAAACATTTGGAATCGGTACTCTAAAGGCTATCGCAGATATTTTGCCTTTAAGATCAGGGATAATTTTGTCCAAAGATTTGGCTGCACCTGAAGATGTTGGAATGATATTTTGCAGCGCACCTCTACCGTCCCTCCACGACTAAGATACAGATAAAATTGCGATATATTTTCTTAAGTTAGTAAAACAAATATCGTTATACAAGATAAATCAGAAAATATTACAATTGTAAACAAGATGCTTATTAACTATAATAAAACCTATTATAAGAATATAATGTTTGAAAATTTATTAGGCTACTATAAAAAGTAAATACATCCGCTAATAAATACAATAACAAATATCTATTTTATTTTATATTAAAATCCTGTATTCTTTTTCTTTTTTTTTTTTAGTTAAGTATTAAGTTCAATATTATAGGACATTTTAGCATTAACATTAAAACAGGTAAATTTTATTAATAGTGGTACCTATAATAGTATAGTAAAAAACAATGGTCATTCTATTTTTAAAAAATGCAGTCCACATTGATTGCAATAAACAATAGTAAAAGCAAGAATTGTTTCAGAAAATTTATAATTGCTAAAAATTTATATTTCATAATTACTTTTTCCCTTTCTATGGGCCCATCTAAAGTTCGTTGCATCGATGTTAAAGCATGTACACTACTGAGCATTACTTCAATAACTTCAAATTTATCATGCATCACTTGAATGATTGGTGCTGCACAATTTGTTGTACAAGAAGCAGCTGAGATTATTTTACCTTTTTTCGGATCATAACACGTATGATTCACGCCATAAACTATCATTGGTGCATCTTTAGAAGGTGCAGTAATAATCACTCTTCTGGCTCCACTATCCATATGTAACTACAATAAAATAGATATTTTCTTTCTTACTATGCTTTCAGAATGATATACTTGATATTAAAAAGTAGATTAAAGTTATAATATAAATTTTGATATTTTTGTAAAGATATGCCTTCAAAAATTGTTTTATAAATTTCATTATTTTTAAGTAATAAAATATAAACAATTTTTACATTTCAATGTATTCGAAAATGTACCAAATTTATGATTTATAATTAAAAAGCAAAAATAGCTTTGTTTCTTACGCTTGCTTTCTCTAGATTAGTGAAAACCCCAGTAGCTTCAATTACATATGTTACACCTGCATCTCTCCAATTTATTTTACATGGATTTTTTTCTTGTGATGTGGATATCCTATTATCTTCAACAGCAAAAATGAATTTAGGCATTAGTATGAAAGTAAAAAATTTATAATTTATTAATAAATTTTTTATGTTCTTATACTATACAATTATCATTACACTGTACATTATATCAGCAATTATATCAACAATTTAATATAATAATTATTTAATACTTAAATTTTAGTTAAATTAATTTTAATAAAACACTTACTCAATAGTAAATAATAAT